GTCAGACAGTTCATAAGTAGTTGACGGGCGTAATCTAGGCAATTAAAGCCGCATACGTGGGGCGCTGCAGATGAGATTGGTGAGGTTCATGCATGCATATGGCCTATATATGACTTCTGTTCTCTATGTTATGGGCGGTCATAATATGCTCTAAACCGCGTCTGTTCTTTATGTTAGAAGCTGCGGAAATCAATGTGTTTAATTATCTAAAGTAGATGATAGATCCTACTGAACTTTCGCTTTGTGTTTATACCTATCGTGCGGAAATCTATGTTCTTGAATTAAGAGTTTAGCAAACATGGATCAAAACGTCACGATTAGAAAGTCTCCAAGGGATAATCGCGATTCGAAAATTCCCTCTGCCTCGGCAACCTGCACACCGAATTTGGAGGTGCGAATTTTATGTTATCTTAGCAATAATTCAAATATATCAGCAACCTTAAAAAAGTATCATAATAACTAACAAAATACATACAAGTTTAAAACACGCACCACGATTGCTACATGGAATGTTAGGACGCTATAACAATGCGGTCGACTACATCGAACCGCAGAAGGACTTACTCGTCTCCACATTGAAATAATGGGTCTTTCTGGATGTATGTGGAATGACCTCAGCGAACACCAACTAACATCAGGCGAGAAGTTTTTATATTCCGGAAGAGACCCAAAACGATATACACAGCGACGGTGTCAACTTCTTGCTGAGCAAAAATGCCTGTAAATCCAATTCCAATCGAAGCAAGAAATATTACAGTTATTCAAGTTTACGTTTCAATTGAACTTGCAGACGACGAATCTAAGCTAAACTCCTACAATCAACTCTTGGCTACACTTTCAAAAACACACAAATGTGACAATATTATTTGTATAGGGGTCTTAAATACAAAAGCAGGTTGAGACAACACCAATTTTGAGCACATTATGAGCAAACATGGTTTATGCACGGCCAACTTTGTAAAACTGTGTACCTCACATGATTTAGCATGTGAGCCCTTCATACACAGAAAATGTCATAAAACGAATTGGATTTCGCCAGATAACAGAACAGAAAACTAAATCCATGACATATACATAAGCAGAAAGTGACGAAAAAGTTTACTCGATGTCTGTGCCAAGAGAAGTGCAGATATCGGCTCCGACCACCCGACGGCTCCGACCAACTGAAACTTGATCAGAGCACTTTATAATGTTGAAGTCTCAGATATTATCGCAACCAGCGTATGAGTATGCCGATTATACTTACGTATAATATACTTACTTAAAGACCTGGCTTATGCAGACGACATCTGTTTAATTTCAGTGAAGCACTCCGACATACAAGCAAAACCTGATGAACCATGCGTCGAGTCCAGTAAGGTTGGTCTAAAAATCAACATCGATAAAACCGAGACCTATTGATTTCACGATACCCTGACCAGAATTAGCAAAAATTCTCCACATAATTTCACGATACCTTCACAAAAATGAGACTACTTGAATCAAACGTCATTTCAGTATTGCTCTATGGATGTGAGCAATATGTAACCGACTTTTTTATTGGACGAATTCAAAGCTTCGTCAACAGATGTCTTCAACGTATTCTCAAGGTGTGCAAGCCAAATGTCATTAGTAACTCCGACTTATATGAAAAATGTAAATGAACAAATGGTCAATCACATAAGACTATGAAAATGACGTTGGCAAGGTCACATATTGCATTGATTTATAATTAGTTTCAATAAATCTTAACGAGATTTAGTCAAAAGAATAGTTTTAAACGAATTTAGCTAGAGAAAGAAATCAGCACTTTAATTAGTAATTTAGAAAAATTAAATCACCTGCACTAGATGGAATTAATGGATTGTCTGTGAAAAGTCTTACGTTATCACTATTTTGGGTATCTTCCCGCAAATCTGGAAAACTGCAGTTATAGTAGCTATTCCACAATCTGCAAAACACTTTTATTTGTCTGAAAATTGAATACCTATAAGTTTTCTGCCAACTATAGGTAAAATAGCAGAAAGATTAGTACTGGCAAAACTCAAAAATATAATGATAGTTAAAGATATCATTCCCAAAAAACAGCGAAAAAACAGATATCATTCCACTCGGTGAAATGAAACCGACTGGATTGGCCTTGTTTGATATCACTATGTGATGCGTGGTATAAAATGTTGATATTGCAGTTAAAATGATAAAACTATTTATCAAATAGAGAGTTTTTGGTTAAAGTCCGATTTCTTCTCATCTATAAAGATAATTAAACTGGTCGTTCCTTAAAGATTCACATTGTCTCCTTTATTGCAAATGATCAATTTCGCTCTTTGCTGATGAGACCTGCATTATGCATGGAGGTAAACAATATACAACTGCATATTGATAAGATAATAAAATATTTCCGAGAAACTATACACAAGAAACGGAAATACATTCTCCGTAAACATCTGTGAAGAACTTAAAACGGTTTCAAAAACGATTAGTATCCAAGTATTAACCCAAAGGGGAACAAACCACCTGTTTTGATGCCAATTCCATCTTCTAAAAATAACAGTCTCAACCGCCGCTCAATGCATAGGAATGGCGCTAAGAATCTTAAGCGTAACATACTGAATTTTTGCCAGAAATCAAGGTTTACCACTTGGAATGTGTGCACACTCTTCGAAGCCTCCAAGTTAGCGCAAGCATCGAAGGAAATTAACTGATTCAAATCGATATTACAATTGCTCTTGGACCACTATTTTGTATAAAATAGTCACTCACGAAATCGAGTTAACAGAATAGGTCTTCTTTTGAGACAGAACAGAGAAACAAGCTCTTTTGGTATTTAAGCCCATTTCATACCGCATTATTAAATTTTGCAACATTACTATGGTACAATGCTACGTTCTAACAGAAGTAGTTGACGCGAGCACCAAAGATGAATTCTATAACCTACTTACAGGAACATTAGACAGCACGCATAAAAGAGACATATTAATAGTTAAAGGTGACTTTAACGCTACAGTAGGCAATAACAACGGTGGCATTGAAGACGTAAGGGGTAACAATGGCTTACGTCACACCCGCAATGGTAATGGCGGGCGCCTCCTCAACTTCTGTTCTAATTTCCATCTTTTCATCGGAAGTACCAGATTTTCATCGGGGACACAAAAACATCCATAAGTACACGTGGCAGTCTGCTGATGGCACTACTCGCAACTAGTTTGGCCACGTACTGATTTTCATAATAGTCTCATTGACGTTCGCTCCCGCAGAGATGCAGACTTCTACTCAGACTACAATTTATTAGTAGCAAAGTTTTGTCTACGCCCCTGACTATAGCACCCAGAAGTCGGGGAACGCGGAAGATAGATATCGACAAGTTCAAAAACTCAACTAAGAAACTAAACTTCGTCTCTCAACTTCAAGCCATATTCCCAAAGTCGTTTCCCTCACTTAAAATCTTAAGGAATATCGCCTCTTCCGCCTCTGACAGAGCCCATTTAAGATCTGAATACGATAAGGATAACCGAACAGTCAAAAAATGCATGAGAAGAGACAAGTATGATTACGTCGACAATATGCTGAACTGAGCATGCTGCTAACCGCAACGATGTAAGAGGGGTTTACACAGCTAGTACAAAGGAAATACTCCCTCTTTAAAAGACAAGCACGGCAACATTCTGGCATCAGAATGCCAACAACTACAAGGATGGGTTGAGTTGTTTGAGGATAGAAGTAGTGGCAGTAGTGGTAATTAGCGCCGACTACACATCGCAGCATCCCCGTCGTAACCCTAACCGCACAAATCCTGCGGATCTAACTGCATTGTTCCTGAGTTGCTAAAGTTCGGCAGCGATATTCTTGCTTCCAGAATTAAAAAGATTTTAGATGGACAACTGGAAAGATTGTCTCATCATCATGTTCCCGAAGAAAGGCGGCCTATTAATATGTAGTTATAATTATGAGTTATTTGTTTGTCATGTCATTGTTTTGTAGTTTCATCAACATATGCACAAAATTTATCTTCCATGAAACTGTATTTCGTTTTTTATTTTTGTACACAAATAATGACAAGCATTTAAGATTTTCACCAAGCAAAAAGGTTTTACTATACTGGACACATCTTGACAAATTTTAAAACTCAAGAACCTAGTGCTTTTCACCACACTATGATGTAAAGTGTTTTGTATACAAAAATCAAAAGTAATGTATGAGGTCGTTATTATATTCATATCATGCCTCATCACTTTTATTTTTTTAATTCGTTATTTGATATATAGAATTTTATCATACATATAAATAGTTCAAAACTATTTTTACAATAATTTAATAAATAATTATAAAATCACTAACAATGCCATTTAGGAATTTTATTATAATTATTTTTATAAAATTTATTAAATTTTATTTTATTACTATTGTTATATTTTTACTGTATTTTAATAACTATAAATTCACTAATTATGTTGTTTGGAATATTATTATGTATATAAATAACAAAAAAAATGCTAGCAAATAGTATATAATTTTTTTGTCAAGAGCATTTGTCATCTTGGTAATTTATGAAGGAAGGAGCTTTATATTAATAGCATAGAATACTAACACCTTTACAAATTGTCAACCTTGACATATAAGTTAGATGGTAAATAATTGTGGCAGCACCAAAAAATATAAATAAAGAACTGTTAACAAGGCAGAAGGGAGACAACAATATCCGCAGTTCCCGCGAGTAGTAGTTCTGAAAAAGTATAAAGCAGCACGGAATAAATGTATAAACACAATTGAATAAATCTTAACTTTAATAATAGTTTGTAGTAAATAATTATAAGAAATAAATAAACTTATTCATTTCCACTAAGGAGTGTTAAATTCGAAATAAAACCCAACATAGTAAACCACTACATAATTATCAATATTTGACAAATTTGTCAATTGCACACAAGAGACCTGTAAATATCGTTTGTGAATCGACTTCGTGTAAATTATAACGAAACAGATGAAAACGAAACACGAAACGATTAGCGATAACGGAAACTGCTTTAATGTCAGAGAAATGTCACAACAAATGCTCTTTTTCCTGTAGGTACTGAAACTAAAAAGTATGTAAGGAATTATGTGAGAAACTAATCTTAATAAATATATAAAATCATTTATTACTATTTACAGATAGTGAAACATGCCACCAAAATTCGACCCTACAGAAGTTAAATTAGGTAAAATAATAGTTTATTTTTGAATATCAGTTCATTAATGAATAAATATTTTTTAGTTTATCTTCGCTGTGTTGGCGGTGAAGTTGGTGCAACATCATCATTAGCCCCCAAAATTGGTCCACTTGGATTGGTAAGTATTCTACGAAGGCAATAATAAATATTTTAATTAATGTTTAATTTATTAGAGTCCGAAAAAAGTGGGTGATGATATTGCAAAAGCCACTTCTGATTGGAAAGGATTGAAGATTACAGTTTGCTTAACAATTCAAAATAGGCAGGCAGCGATTTCTGTTGTACCCTCAGCAGCTTCCCTTATCATAAAAGCTTTGAAAGAACCACCACGCGATAGAAAGAAGCAAAAGAATAGTAAGTTTTTTCTATACATGATGAAACCTATTTAAATAAAACTATTTTTGCAGTTAAACACAGTGGAAATATAACTTTTGACGATATACTTGCTATTGCACGCACTATGAGACCAAGATCAATGGCTCGAGGTTTAGATGGTACTTGCAAAGAAATTTTAGGAACTGCGCAAAGTGTTGGATGCACTATAGACGGAAGACCTCCACATGATCTGATTGATGATATCAATAGTGGAGCACTTGAAGTACCTTCAGAATGATTTGTATTTTCAATGATTGTGTAAAAAGCTACAAATTACATGCAAATATATTGAAGGAAAAGTGTTGCAAAAGTGATTTTTTTTTAATTTGATTCTATATATGTTTTATTGATCGCATTTGGTACATATAAAATTTGCCGAAACTCTAAATGTTTAGTGTGAATCTATGCAGTAGTGTTTATTAATACTCATTACTAAATTGCAATTGATTCAAGTCAATAACAATTTCATTAATTGATCATTAAATGCTGATATATTGGCGAAAGTTAAACAGTTTTATTATTGGTTGGTTTACACATCAAATATTTTTTAAAATTGAAAAGTGATAAATTTACCGGAAGTGAAGATCACAGAAAATCATATAGCTTTTGAAATTAAATAACTATAACATAAATAATAATTAAATTTATTTGATAATTGTGCAAACGATTTTTTTGCTATGAACAAAATGTGTGAAGTTTACACTGTATTATTTAATCCGCCCAGCCAGATACAATTCGGTTGTAATGCATGAAGAACTCGCAAGAGATATTGATAAATATAAATACTACCATTCATTGTATGGATATATTTCAAAAATATTAATCTTCAATTTTATATATAAAAATAATGTAAACTTATGCTTTTTCTTACATATACATTTGATAAGAAAATATTGTGGAAAGGTATGTGAAGTTCTTTAAAAAAATTTTAATATTAAGTGAACATCGGGCACTAAGTTAAATAGTGTCATGTTCTGATCAATATGACAAGACGACGGGATGTAAAGATGTCTGTAATAAAAAACTCTGTTTCGAAGTGGTATCATTCTGGTAGGCTAAGCTACTATTATTTTATAGCGAATATACCTATAAATAACTATATATTATTTTCTATTGACACATAATACAAAAAAAAGTTAAACATAAAACTGATCATTAATTCTATGCAGACTAATAGAAAATACACCCAACTCGTAGATACGTTCCTTAGAAATCCGTGTAAAAAAAATGCCAAGTGTCAAACAAGACAGTGATTTTGAGACCGTACTAGATTAAAAATTTTTTACAAAAAAATTTTTTTTTCAACCGTGTAACTTCAAATCCGTGTAAAAAAAGAGTTGGGTGTATATATATTCATCAATTTTATATAAAATTAGTTAACCACTTTGAAGCGTCGATTAGAACAAAAATGTTAGATCGAGAACGTAACTAACTACTTCTCCGTCGTCCCCAGGATATAATTTATTTCTATGAGAATACCTGTGTATATTCGAAAAGTGAGAAGTAACTTTTTTGTTTGTTTTTTGAATAAAATTATCAAAAGTTCCTTTTACTGGAGTTAACTGTTTGTGTTCTGTTAACTCTGGCGGTGCAGTGATTCTCAACCACATCAGCACTAAATTTTAGAAAGCAAACAAATGCATCAAGTTCAATTTATAAATTTTAAATTTTGTAATTAAACATAGCATTCCATTTATTTTCGTAGTCCTTTTAATTTAGTTTTTTAAATTCTTGAAAACTTAATTTATTAAAATGATAGATTCCAAGCATAATTGAAAAAAAAATATGTTTTTATTTTAGAAAACGACCCCTTTTTAATATATCAAAAATATAAAATTGAATTATACAGAAAGTTAGTTTTGTGCAATAGTTAAATTTTGAAACTTATGTTCAATTTCGTTGAACTTTTAGGTTATTTGCCAAGAATTTGAATAAAATCTTCAACAACCACTTCAAGTTTAACCATATCAGCTGCAAATTTACGAATACCTTCAGATAATTTTTCAGTTGCCATAGCATCTTCATTTAACATCCAGCGAAAAGTAGATTCATCTATATTTATTTTATCAATGTTCGTTTGTTTAGCTTCAGACTCATTTAATTTTTGAGTTATTGTTTCAGTATCATTTTCCAACTCTTCCAATAATGATGGACTAATAGTCAATAAGTCACAACCAGCCAAAGCTTTTACTTCACCAATATTTCTGAATGAAGCACCCATTACAACAGTATTGTAATTGAACTTTTTATAATAATTATATATATTTGAAACCGAAATAACACCTGGATCATTAGTAGAATCATATGAAGCTTTCGTATTAGCAACATGCCAATCTAAAATTCGCCCAACGAAAGGAGAGATAAGCGTTACTCCGGCTTCAGCACATGCCACTGCCTGCACCATAGAAAACATTAATGTTAAATTACAATGAACGTTATGCTTTTGTTCTAAAATCTTTGCCGCTTGTATTCCTTCCCACGTCGCCGCAAGCTTTATAAGAATGCGATCTTTATTAATTCCTCTTTCTTCATACAAATTTATTATCTTTAATGCTTTCTTAACACTTTTATCTACATCGAATGATAAGCGCGCATCAATTTCTGTAGAAACTCTACCAGGAACTATGTTGAGAATTTCACGTCCAAATAACACACTTAATAAGTCAACTGCTTCTGTTATTTTCTCGTCCGTGGTACTGAAATCATATTCATTATTAATGCTCGTGTATTATCATAAATGTTTATAACTACTTACGTTGCAACTTTATTAGCATGCTCTACGGCTTCTTTAATTAAATAGTGATAACGTTCTAGTTTAGCGGCAGAAAGCATAAGAGATGGATTTGTAGTGGCATCAGTTGGCTTATACAACTTCATTGCTAAATTAATGAAATATATTTGTAAAAAATATTTCTTTTAAATATTCAAAAAAATTGTATTATATGATAACTTTTGACTTTAAATAAACACATTCTCTCTCTATTCAACCGTTTTTTATTTAAATTTCATACCATACTTGCCTTAAAAATATTTTCTTTCGTTTTAGTATAAAAACTTCATATGTCGATTTTATATTACGAGGGCGGTATATATATTACGAGTCACGGCAATTGTTGTTGCTCTCAATGCAAAATGAAAATTTGTGAATAACAACTCATTTCATTTTGCATTGAACGCAACAACAGCCGTGATGTGACTGCAATAATAATATGCTACTAAGAAGGGAAAGGGTTTCTATCGTAATATTATTCCAGACGTTCTCAATTAGATGACAAATTTTATGTGTTATTTCATTTTCTGACATTACAACGTTAACAAATTAACGAGGCATCAATTACCATTTTTTTTTTGTTATTCGGCAAAACATCAACTTATTATTACTGTGAATATTTTTAGAAAAAAAAAAAGAAATATTGGTAGAAATAAGAAATTAAATAAAGAGCAAGTTCTTTAATTTAGTATTATTTTTTTGTAATTTTTTTGCTTCTATTTACGACAAAATAAAATTAAATGGTCTTGCATTTTCATTTTTTAACTTTTCCGAGAATGAAATTCTAATTGGCGTTTAGACGTTTGTCATTTTATTAATTTACAGACTACGTAGTTACTGATCCAAAGGTATATTTTAACGTTGAATATTCGTTTTGACTCAAATTTTATTTAGCAATAATAAAATCGTTATGATATTGATAACAAATTAAAGCCAATGTGTTTAAATAAAATCTTTATATAACTTCAATTTATTAAGGCCATATATACTTTCAATTTTAATACAAGGGGACAAGTTTGTTATTTTTAACACTATTGTATTGGCTACCGCGGATAACGTCTGCGTAAAATTATTTGACGTCCCTTTTGTTTGAAAAACCGGCTGATTCTCGGTTTGAAAAGACAAAGTTCAAAAATGATGCTAGTAAACATCAATCATGATTTTAAATAATCATAGCATTCAATTTATTAATTTATCAAGTTCAAGGTCAAATTTATATATAATTGCATACAAATATATTAATTGCATATATACTTCTTGCATATGTTATTATCTATTCGTGGTCATGGTGAGCTTTTCATTATATTGATAATGCTGATGGTGGTCCAAATCAAATTGGATTAAAACTGAATTAGTTTTCAAATTTGGTATGGACTTATAACATCCAATTTACATATACAATATTGAATGCATAATAATAATTGCTTAATCATTATTTATCAGTGAAACATCTACATATACACTATAAAAAGCAGGCTTATTAATCAATGTTAACGTCTGGTGTTTTGAATTTTGACTTTGAAATGACTTTACATTTCAATGTAATGTAATTTTACATTTCTGTAATAGAATTAATTAAATCCTAGTTTCATATTAAAATAGATTTACCTTCAAAATCGCCAGTATCTGCAACAACAACAGTAAATTTTTTAAGCTGTTCCAAAGCAGACATTTTTTGTTTTTTTGATTTTGATTCCATACGTATTAAAAAAGCTTAATGAATAAAGTCTTCAACTACCGGAGATGCTTATCACTCACGATCAACGTAAACTAAGCGGAACTTTACAATGAAACGGTAACTTCATATATATTTATAATTTGACACAAGCCATAGAATAAAAATTTAGACATAACTTAACAAATACATTGTATGGACAAACCAAACTGGCTTCAGAGTGATACATTTTTCTCATTGTGAAAGATACGCAAAAAGGGAATATTATTTTAGCTCCACAAATTCTATTACCTTTGCTTATTATTCTATATTACCTTTCAATTGATAATAGACAATAGATAATTCTATTACCTTTTAAAAACTATTACCTTTGCAAAAAAGGAATACTGTTTTAACTCCATAAATTCTATTACCTTTGCTTATTATTCTATATTACCTATCAATTGATAATAAACAATAGATAATTCTATTACCTTTCAAAAATTAGTGTAGTTCGTATTCGGTGTTACGAAATATTCGGAGAATCTGGTTAATCGGATAGTAAACGTAAACTTCGAAGTTGAAAATAATTGGATTTTATTGTAGGTTAAAATTTAAAACAAATTTGAAATGTAATATAAAGTTTATAAATTATATGTAAAACTTTGACAAAATATTGATTCTTCTTCTTGAGTTAGTGCTATTACGCACTTTTACTCTATAATGGCTGGGGGGCTTATCTCTACCCCATACTAGGCTTTATTGTTAATATTGAAATATTATATAAAATATAGAAGTTATATGCAAAAGTTTGACTATATTAATATTTATGCATTTTTAAATATATAAATGTGGTGGGACTTGGTCCCCATGAAAGCGAGTGCACAGAGCAACGTGTTGATTGCATTTAACATAGAAAATGGCAGCTCAGATCGTATCGTCCTCAATCTAAGTTCTTGCATAGCCTTCACATGGCACCCATGGATAGTTTCCTGGCACGCACTCTGTAATAAACTAATAGTGCATACATTGAGACCTATGCCCAGAACTTTTGATTTGTGTTTTACACAAGGTTTGGCACCCGTTACGTAAAATCAGTCGTAATAAAGGACTATTAGCTGGAATTGGAAACCGATTGTCATTAACGACTCATGCAAATGCTTACAGGATTTACGGATATGCAACTGGAATGTTCGGACTCTCTGTAGGAAAGATGCCTTCACTCAACTGGCGGATGCACTCAATAATGGTCAGGCTGATGTCACCTCCATTCAGGAAATGCGATTAACAGAACTAGGCTGCACTAAAAGATCAAACTGTAATGTCTATTACAGGTGCCATGCAAATAAACGTCAATTCGAATGAAGTTTTGTGGTTAACAATAGACTGTCAAAATCAGTTCAGCAATTCACGCTGGTCAACAACTGCAGTCCCTCTCCGACGTTAAAATCGTTTCGGGGATTTTAACGTAAAAATCGGAAGAGAAGAAATTTTTGGTTCAACAATCGGAAAATTCAGCTCACATGAATTAACTTTTAACAACGGTCTGAACTTGATTGCTTTCGCTGCGGTGCAAAACATGGTAGTATGTAGCATCAGATCCCCACACCACGATATTGAGAAGGCAACGCGGCTATCACGTCCATCACATACATGCTAGATGTATGTCCATGCCATGGTTGAAATATCTAAATAAACCGTAGACTCCCGTCAGTAAGTTGCGATCACGAGAGACAGCTGAAGTCTTCGCCGCTTAACTCTGTAGGCGGTTAAACAATCAATCTTCTCATCTCTATAATGCCGGTAGACTACGAAGACATATCTCTCACTCCCTATGTATAACTTTGGAAGATTTGCTTCGTTTCTAACATTCCTTCGACGAACCCAGTGGTACGACAAAGAATATCGTCGAACTACTGTTGCGAACAATGCGGCCTATAAAAGAACTTTGCAGTCAGCAGCTACGCGAACTGAACAATATCGGGTGACGAGGAAGGTAGAGAGGGGCCTATTCAGACAAAAGAAACGGAATCAAGAAAGACGTGAGCAAGAAAAAATCGAGGTCTGTAGAAAGAAGAATGTAAACGTAAATTTTATCAAAAAGTCAACCGTCTGACTCAAAGCTTTAAGTCTGAAACATCAATATGTAAGAACGAAAGTGCTGAACTGGTTACAAATACACAGAGTGTATTGAAAGTATATAAGGAACATCATCTGATCCATACAATCGAGAATGAGCATTTCGAATTTCACAGGAGATCCTAACATTTCTCGTCTTCTAGATGGAGACTCGCATTTGAGTTGACTGATTTAAATGCTCATTGCTGTCCTGAACGACAACATCCTTAAAATGGTAGATAAATATCGCCGTAATAAATGGAATGGACATCTATTTAATTGCAACTCTGAAAATGGTAGATTGTAAACCATTTAATAAGGCCATAATATTTAATATTTAATTAATGCTTCTACTTCTCTTGTTCTTCGCTTTCCGAAAGCCAAATCAAGGCCTCGAAAGCCCTTGAACCTGATGGCATCTCGATACTCATGCTCAACACCTTGGGGCCATTGATCTTTTAGTTCTGACACACATTCTCAACTCCTCCATCAATTCATATATCATCCCTCTTTTGAAGCCGGGTTAACTGAATGATAAAGGTGAATCGTATAGGTCGATTCCTCTGTTGTCTCCAGTAGCCAAAGTTATGGAGTTCCTAGATCTGAAACAGATATCGCCATATACCTTGCTCCTATCGGCATAAATTTAGAAAATACCATAGTATCACCTTGGCGGGATCACTTTGGTCCCGTATACGGCCTCTCTGTTTGGTGATAGAAATCTTCATCTATATTCAACCAAATCTTATACCACAGTCATCTTATGGAGCTTTAACTCTGTCTATAAAGTCAATCCCCATCATTACCAAACCCAAAATTCTCAATTTCGTACTAGACAGCAAGTTGATCTTTTCTGCACATGTCACGGCAATGAAGTCACGTAAAAATGTGTTGAAAGCTCTCGCATAGTGTTCAAGCAATAACTTTTTGCATGCCAAACAGACATCCCAATGGCCTTCCCACTAAGATACACTCGTCCATCTCCTTCTTCATAATATAGATAAATCGACATCCTTTGCAATGAAGCTTACATCAGCGAGGTCGAATACATATATGAACACAGCCCTCTACATAGATGCAGTATATAAGAACAATGACTCTCCCGTGCAGAAAGAACTGTCCGAGCTCAATTCAGAATACGACACTTCCTAATGTGTGCCCAATCTGCAGTTCTACCCCTCATGATGTCACTTATCTGCTTTCCTGTCCTACTGTACATACAAATATTAGTCTAATCATCATTTGGACCCATGAAACTACCCATTGAAGTGACTAAGTTTTTCCGTCTTGATCTTGGTTGATTTCAAATAAAATTCCACCCATCCATTCACACCCGTTCTCTAATAATCCCCTCCCCCTCAATCAACCATTACCCAATCACATCTCAACCCATATGTTCCTCATGTGATTCCTTTATCTCCTTTTCAGATCCCCGCAGGCTATGGGTCACAACAACAACAAGAGGAGTAGTACGCAGTAATTACGTACTTAATTAAATAACAACCAGTCCTTCTGCAGCATTCAATCAGGAAATGAG